AGGGCCCCCATATATTGACTCCAGCCCAGGGGCCCCCATCCTCCTAAATCCGGCCCTGGCTCTAAGAGCCGAGTCATGCACAAAACACACGGGTTTGACCCAAACACCTAAAACTCTGTCCCGTCACATTAAAAGATTATTTGAGTCAGGCAGTGTGCATTCCTTTGAGGAATCTGACAATATCTTCCCTCTTCAAACAACAGTAGTTTGGAGAAATAAAATCTGACCTGGTTGGATTGATGAGCTAACGGCTAGTCTAAGTGGGACAAAGAGCAAAGAGGACTGCAGCAGTCTTTAAATAACTTCAGTCTTAAAAAAGCGTTCATGTAAATGTTTTTAATAAACATTCCCACAGTCGTCAGCTTTGCATTAGACAGATAATTAACAAGAATTTTATGATTGTTTGCGAACGCAAAAAACTGATGGCAGCAGCGAGCTTTAATTTAACGTTCAGCAAAAATATATTTGTAGCAGCGGATTATAAGCCGGTAAATTCTTTGCTCTCTTGAATCCCTCCAGCTGCTGCCTGCTGACGTTCACAGGTTGAGTTTTTCTTCTCAGAGTTTCTAACGACAACATTTCATTCAGGAAATGACTTGAAAGTAAACAATGTAAAAAAAAGGCTCATAATTCATTTCTTACCATCCCACCTGGACATCTGTCTGAGTGCACTCTCCACTACGTGGCTCCCACACCGGTCACATGAAATCTCCTTAAACCCAGAGCCCGACTCTCCCCCCAGTTCAAGCAGCAGCTCCCCGACCTGCTGAGGGCTGGACAGTGGGAGCAGCCGCTCTAGGGTGATACTTCCTGTTCGGTCCATCGCCACCGTGGCAGCTTTGCCTTTCACCTCCGACAGGACGTTCCCCACAAACATCTCTAAAGGAGAGGACAGGTGGGACAGAGACGGGGGTTAAAGGGTAACGAAGACACAAAGGCAGTAAAATGTGCCTGGAGGGAACAAATCATCCAAGTTAATTCATGGAAAGAGACAATTTGAAGCATTGGTATACGTTATTTTGACTTCAGCTCAAACTGCACATGATTACAGATCTAATCAGTAAACAGTTGTTGACTCCAACTAGGACTGAGATGCACACAGTCCTTCACTTCAGTCTTCGGCTGTGTCTGCTTTGAGTCTCACTCGTGTTTAGACCCGTACGAGCTGCGACCCTCCAGTCGACTCCTTCTTAAGAGTTCCCAGGACATTTTTCTGAACTTTGTAATTTCTCATATTTTTAATCTTAGACACTAAAGAAGTCTTCAGTCCACACGAAACCTTGATAGGTTTGTCTCGTTGAGGAAGTTGAAAGCTCTCGTAAGGTCTTCTGTTAAGAGTTCATTCTGACTTCTTAATTTTGTTTATATATTTTAATATTATAACTTTTAGCTTGTAACTTTGCAGTGTTGCCACCGTCACCAGGTCTCCCAAAATTATTAAATGTTACTTTCAAAGGACTTCCTGGTAGAAAATAAAAAGGGTTAAATTACAAACCGTATTCCAAAAAAGTTGGGACACTAAACAAATTGTGAATAAAAACTGAATGCAATGATGTGGAGATGGCAAATGTCAACATTTTACTCATAATATAACATAGATGACAGATCAAAAGTTTAATCTGAGTAAATGTAACATTTTAAAGGAAAAATATGTTGATTCAAAATTTCACAGTGTCAACAAATCCCAAAAAAGTTGGGACAAGTAGCAATAAGTGGCTGGAAAAAGGAAACTGAGCATATAATGAACAGCTGGAAGACCAATTAACACTAATTAGGTCAATTGACAACATGATTGTGTATAAAAAGAGCTTCTCAGAGTGTCAGTGTCTCTCAGAAGCAAAGATGGTAAGAGGATCACCGATTCCACCATTGTTGTGCAGAAAGATAGTGCAGCAATACCAGAATGGTGTTACCCAGCGTAAAATAGCAAAGACTTTTAAGTTATCATCATCAACCGTGCATAACATCATGAAAACATTCAGAGAATCTGGAACAATCGCTCTGCGTAAGGGTCAAGGCCGTAAAACTCTACAGGATGCTCGTGATCTCCGGGCCCTTAAACGTCACTGCACCTCAAACAGGAATGCCACTGTCAAGGAAATAACAGAATGGGCTCAGGAATACTTCCAGAAAGCATTGTCAGTGAACACAATCCACCGTGCCATCCGCCTTTGCCAGCTGAAACTCTACAGTGCAAAGAGAAGCCATTTCTAAGCAAGCTCCACAAGCTCAGATGTTTGCACTGGGCCAGGGGTCATTTAAAATGGAGTGTGGCAAAATGGAAGACTGTTCTGTGGTCAGATGAGTCACGATTTGAAGTTCTTTATGGAACACTGGGACGCCATGTCATCCAGACCAGAGAGGACAAGGATAGCCCAAGTTGTTATCAACTCTCCGTTCAGAAGCCTGCATCACTGATGGTATGGGGTTGCATGAACGCTTGTGGCATGGGCAGCTTGCATGTCTGGAAAGGCACCATTAATGCAGAGAACTATGTTCAGGTTCTAGAACAACATATGCTCCCATCTAGACGTCATCTCTTTCAGGGAAGACCCTGCATTTTTCAACACGATAATGCCAGACCACATTCTGCAGCAATCACAACATCATGGCTACGTAGGAGAAGGATCCAGGTACTGAACTGGCCAGCCTGCAGTCCAGATCTTTCACCTATAGAGAACATTTGGTGCATCATAAAGAGGAAGGTGCGACAAAGAAGGTCCAAGACGATTGAACAGTTAGAGGCCTGTATTAGACATGAATGGGAGAGCATTCCTATTTCTAAACTTGAGAAACTGGTCTCCTCTGTCCCCAGACGTCTGTTGAGTGTTGTAAGAAGAAGGGGGGATCCACACTGTGGTAAAAATGGACTTGTCCCAACTTTTTTGGGGATTTGCTGACGCCATGAAATTTGGAAACATCAGATTTTTCCCTTAAAATGATACATTCTCTCAGTTTAAACTTTTGATCTGTGATTTGTGTTCTATTCTGAATAAAATTGTAGATGTTGGCACCTCCACATCATTGCATTCAGTTTTTATTCACAATTTGTTTAGTGTCCCAACTTTTTTGGAATCCGGTTTGTAAAAAATAGGCCTCGTTTAAAACTCTGATCTAATAAGCTCATAATCTAAGTGAGTCTAATCTGAGTTGATAAGTACAAGCTTGAAGCAGAAAACATGACCCTGAACCTCCTGTCCATCTTCAGCTTTCTCACTGACTTGCCTTCAGGTTTACAGACGACTGATAGTGAGGCTCTTCAATACTTTGCATGCCAAAGAGCAGCTGTGGATCCAGTGGTTAGAGCAGTCGTTCTCCAGTGCAAAAGTTGGGGGTTCGATTCCACCAGCAGTCACATGCCGAAGTGTCCCTGGGCAAGACATTGATGCCCCCGATGTGTGTCCGATCAGTGTATGAATGTGATAAAGCTCTGATTAGTCTTTGTATAGAAAGAGTCGAGTGCTGTGTGAATGGGTAAATGAGATTGTGCTGTAAAGAGCTTTGAGTATCTTGATAAGACAGAAAAGCACTACATAAGTACAGTCCATTTACTTAGTTTTGCCTTAGAAAATCAATCCTCACCTCTCTCCTCATCATCTTCAAAGCTTTCACTGAGTCTATCTCCAACACGGCGAAAATAGCCGACACTCTGCGCATCCAGTCGCATTTTCCCACCGCCTCCCTGAGGTTTTGGTCCTTCTTTACCATCCTTCCTCTTTCCTTCTCTTCCATCTTCACTAGGGGTACTCCTCCTCTTACGTCCTTTTCCTTTCTGCTGCGTCTCCTCTTTTGCCAACATGCTGTGAAGAAGAACACACACAGGCTTTAAGCAGCGTTGTCAGGGTGAAACAAGGCAGAGAGATGACAAAACATGGAGCAGCCAAACAGATTTAAACTGGTTCAGATTAGTATTGCTGTCACTAAAACTGAAAATAATCTGGATTTACAAAGTTTTCATTGAAGGAACCTCTTGCTTTATTAAATAAATAAAAGCTTTAAGAGACGGTGTTGATCAGACAGACTGAGATGTTTATTGCAAATATTAATTATTTGTTTGATGAGATTGATGCAAGCCGAATGTAAAACTAAACAAAACTGATTCAGATAAAATCCTAAATCATGCTCTGCGAGGTTAATATAGTTCTCAATAATTGAGACAAAATAAAACTAACGTTCTGCTCAAAGGAGTTCGTCTAAAAACACTTTCACATGCAGTCAATGCTAAGCTAAGCTACGAGCTAACGAGTTTATTTCATCCATCCATCCATTTTCTTTACCCGCTTATTCCATTTTGGGTCACGGGGGTCGCTGGTGCCCATGTCCAGCAATCACTGTGCGAGGGGCGGGGTACACCCTGGACGGGTCGCAAGACCATCACAGGGACACATAGAGACAAACGAGACAAACAACCATTCACTCTCTCACTCACACCTAGGGACAATTTAGAGTTACCAATCAGTCTAACATGCATGTTTTTGGACTGTGGGAGGAAACCGGAGCACCCGGAGAAAACCCACGCATGCACGGAGAAAACATGCAAACTCCACCCAGAAAGGCCCCTGGACCGGGGTTTGAACCAAGGACCTGCTCGCTGAGAGACAGCAGCTCTACCAGTTGTGCCACCGTGCTGCCCCGAGTTTATTTCAATTCAATTCAATTCAAAAATACTTTATTAATCCCAAAGAGAAATTATCTGTTGCTGTAACTCGTTATCCTCATTTCATTAAGAGATGTTATAGATACTGATGGCTGTAGACAGGAAGGATCTCTTGTAAAGGTCCATCCCACAGTGGATCCTAAGAAACTGGCTGCAGATGCTGTCAGGTCCGTCCACCCAGAGGACCACCCCAATGCCAGGCAGAACTCCTCCCAGTGTGATGGCCACTCCTCCCAGCAGTCTGCCGAGCTCCTCGTCGCTGCAGACAGCCAACTGTAGGTGCCGAGGGACGATCCTGTCCTTCCGCTGTCATGAGCCGTGTTTCCTGTTAGTTCCAGGATCTCAGTGGTCAGGCACTCGAGCACAGCTGGCAGGTAGATGAGAATGCATCCACAGAACATCTTTTTCAACTCATTTGAGATTTGGGGCTGTAGTTGAGATATTATTTGAGCTTTTGAGATGTTAATCAGCTGCTGTTGTTGTAGAAAACTGCCTTGTTGCCATGGTTACGCATCATTTTAAAAAAAGTCCAAAACTAAAAAAGTTTCAGTAAAAATCCTTCCAGCTGTACAGCATCTGATACCAGAGGAAACTAATCATCCAAAAAACTGTGATTTAATCCAGAAAAAGATTAATTAAAGTTTCCAAAAGCAAAATCTCAGAATGAAAGTAACAGAGCTGCTCCAACATGCAGCCACCTTGAGCGGCGCAATTCAGTTGATCATTTGATCAATTCATTTGATAAATTAAACAGATTATGTTTAAGAACTGAGGCCAATTGTTTACAAAGTAAAATAAGCACGGACTGTTAGTAGAATTAAAAGACAACAAACACAACATATACTCACGTGTGAGCGCTGGAAGAGCAGGAGGGATATTTGTTTGACGCGTAGTGATGACGTCATCGTGGTCGCCTCCATAGATACCACATAAACACGCCGTGTTTATATCTATGGTCGCCTCTCTCCCTTATTTTTTTCTTCACAAAAAAAGCTTTTTTTAATATAAATAATTACATATCTCTGGAAATGTCTCTGTTAAACGTTTTTGTTTTAATGTGCAAAATAAATTATGTTAAAACGAAAGGGTCGTTGTCTTTCCTGTATATTACCAGTAGGGGGCAGGAAAGCAACAATCTTTGTTCAGGGATTTCCGGAAAATAATCCGTTTCAGTACTTTTTCGGACATGGACATGTCTGATGGTGTTTAATGCATTGGATCTTCTCTAGCTCTATCAAATTTAAACTTTTAAAATATGAAATGAATGATCCTAAACTATTTATAAACTTTACAAAACACAATTTGTGATCTGTAAATTTATTCTTTCGGCTTTTCCCTCTTCAGGAGTCTCCGCAGCGAGTCATCCTCCTCCATCTCACTCTGTCCTCATTCATTAGCTCTTCAAAGTATTCCTTCCATCTTCTCATTATGATCTCCTCACTTGTTAAAACATTACGATTCCTGTCTTTAACAAGATTAACCTGTTGGCTACACTCACACCTCATGTGACCTGGCCACATCGCCATCTCCAAACCTTCACCCTCTCTGACATCATCCAATCTGCTGCTTTAAAACACTACAGGCAGAGCTTAATTTGTAAACTGATCAGAATTTCGCACAAGACCGGAACAGGGTGGAGGGGGGGGGGGGTGTCAGTCCGTTGGTCCTCTCACAGAAAATTTTGAACAACAGAGATGCCATTTCCTGCATTTTGGTGTTATGCATCAACATTTACCTACATTTGTAAACTCTTAATTAAATTACTATTTTGGAGAGCAACAGCAGGTTGAGTGATAACTAGAGCAGCTCTGATTCTGGCAGGTGTCCTAAACCCCCTCCTCCCTCCCCTCACTTCTGAACTGATGGTTTTGAAACGTGACATATAATGTGAAGAACATTTCTATCTTTGTAGTTTTAATTAATTTTTTTACAGTAAACTTTTTGTAATTTATTATTTCTGAAATGTAGCAGGAGTTCAGACACCTGCTGATGTGTGCGCTGGGTAGAGATTGGAGACGTTTCTGTGCGTAACGTGCACTGTCTGCAGGTCATTTATTTATTCTGTTGAATAAGTAATCGTTTCTGTTTTGGGGGTCTGAGAGGAGGAGAGAGGGGATGTTTTTCAGTGCGCTGCCCCGCTGTGGAGGGGCATTATTTGGAGAGGAGGAGGAGACAAGGACTCCACACAGCACCACTGTGCGTAAATGTGACTATCTGATCTCCCACCCACCCCCACCCCCCGCCTAGAGGTTTCTCTCCTGCTGGTGCGTCACGCATGCTGCGGCTGGAACATCCACAGACTGGGTCTGCCGGGCTGAGGGCAACGTCCCTTCTCGTTGTATTTTTTAATTAATAAAACACTTTCCTGCTGAATTCACTGTCCTGTTGTCCAACTCCACATGTAAAACCTCCTGGCTCCTCCTCCGTCTGTTCATGGCGACTGCCTTTGGGCTTCTGCCCACGTACGACTGCACTCACCCCCATCACTTTTTTAGGGGCGGAGATTTTTTTAAGGGTAGAGGTGGAAATGCTACTTGAAGAGGCAGATCATGGCTGTTGTGTTTAAAATGAGTGTTTATGTAATTATTTTCAGTTTGCATAGCCTATATAAGTTTTATTTGCTCAATGCAGTCATATTTGTTTATAACTTTATTATTAGTAAGCTTGAGAGTTACCGGATCCAAGTAAATTGTTACCGGAATGCACCCTGACAAAATAAGAGTTCCCGGATCCTGTTCTGGCAGGATAGGGATCAAATTAAGCACTGGTTTCGTCTCAGGTATTGGTGCAAAGTGACATCCCGGGAAGTGCAGGGAGTACCGGTAATTAAATCATTAAATCCAAGCATAGTTTTCTCAAATGGTGGTAAATATATATATATATATATATATATATATATATATATATATATATCTGGATCAGATTGTGTCGCTTCCAACACAGATGTTGGTCACAGCACCTGGAATCTGACGTAGATTAACTAGGAGATTAAAAATATATTCCATCAGTCATAGTTCAGAAAGCAGTGTGTCCGCCGCCATGTTGATAGAAATATAGCGTCTGTCCACGCGTGCGTGCGCATGTGGTTTAACGTGGTTCAAAGCGGTCAGTGAAAAACCTCCACTCTGGAAGGTGGGTTCATAAACCTCCGGATTCAAAGAGGGGGGCCACTGGTGTCGTGTAAATGATCAGCAGAACTGCAGAGAGAAAGCTGCGGATTCACTTAAAATACGCGCCGTGTAAACAGCCCTTAAAATGAACTCTAAAATGAACAGGCAGCCAGTGGAGTGAAGCCAGAGTGGGAGTGATGTGCGCCCTCTTTGGAACTCCAGTTAGAAGCCGAGCAGCAACATTCTGGACCAACTGGAGACGTCTGAGGGAGGACTGGCTGACTCCAAGGCAAAGAGCGTTACAGTAATCCAACCGAGATGTGACGAAGGCGTGGATTACAGTTTCCAGCTGCTGTTGTGTGAGGATGGGCTTTACCTTAGCCAGCTGTATGAGGTGATAAAAACTGGTCTTGACCACCGCTCCAATCTGGGAATCTAATTTTAAATCACTGTCCATTTTAAAACCCAAGTTAGAAACAGTTTTCTTTACATGTGGTTCCAGAGGGCCCAGGTCAACAGGGCAAGGTTCACAAGAGCTGCTAGAACCAAACACCATCACTTCTGTTTTCTGTTCATTGAAATGTAAGAAGTTTAAAGATATTCAAGCTTTGATTTCAAGTGAGTGGTGGCACAGAGGTTAGAGAAGATGGGCCTGTGATCGGAAAGTCACAGGTTCAACTCCCGGTATTGTCCACTTCAAAATGTGGGTGGAAAAGGTGAAGCACCCACACCTGCCTCCACCCTCATTCGCCCCACTCTGGCCCCCTGAGCGAGACTCTTAACCCCCACCATCTGCTCCCTAAACAGGTCTCTCTTGAAAATGAGTTCTCGTGGCTCAATGAGACTACCTGGATAAATAAAGTGTAAATGAAAAAAAGATGTCTTCAAGACACAACAGAAGTGGCCTGATTGAGGAGGTGTTTTTCTTTTTTAGTGGCATATAGATCTTAATATCGTCAGCATAACAGTGAACAAAGATCCCATACTTTCTGAGGATTGATCCCAGAGGAAACAGGTAAAGGGAGAAATGCATCAACAGTTTTTCAAATGCACATATTTCAATTTGCACAGTAGGATTATGCTTTAGTATTTCTTGTTTGTTTGTTATTTTTTGTTTTTAGCGAGTCGAATCGATTCTTCTCATCCTGAACATTTCATTGTTCACCTTGTGTTAACCTACATAATATGACAAATAAACAACGTAACATGCTGTGCACACAAATGGCAACTACACACTTCTCTGCTATTTTATCAATAAGTAAATCTCAGATTTCCCAGCTTTTCACCAGCCTTGAACGCAGCATTACTTTTGGTCATTTGGAGGTAAGAAAGTCTCAGAAGTCACATTCACAGGCAGCTGATCCATGTGCAGCAGGAGATTTGTGCACGTCTGTTTGACTTTTCACTCATCACAGCCTTCATTTGTTTTACCCAACCCTTATTTTCTCTTGCAGGCACAGAGCTGCAAATGTGTGTTTCCTCACCAGTGTGTCTGGACATAATATTTAATGAGAAATGATTTACAACAATCAAACACACATTATGAGTTATACGAGTTATACAGAATGTGTAAATAATCCTCTGATCTAATAAATAAATGTGCCTGGAAGACCCTAAAATCCCATCAAGAAGTTTTATTGGAGAACATGTCTATACTGCGGCACATGCCTCAGTAATGTTGTTAGTTATTAATTAATAAGTAATTAATCCTTTGAGGCTCATTAGGCTTAGGAGGCCCCAATTCCTGTCAGCAAAGCCACCAAGAAACAAACGTTTCCAAGGAAGTAAATAGCCACCAGCAAAGGGTTAACATGGACCTGCAACAAAAGAATACAAAAATATTAACTGAAATATAGAAATGTAATTCTGTTTATTGTTGGTTTTGTTTGTAGCTCTTATGCTGTGTCTTACTTTTGTTGAATCCCGGATTGCAGAAGGATCTGTGATAAAAATATAAAAACATATGTCAATTTTTCTGCGTCTCACAGAACTCTTAACATGACGATCATAAAACAAACAGTTTGAAAACAAAACCTAATTAAACGTGTTCATGAAATGAATGTTAATAAAACACTTTGCAGAAACCTGGATAAGTTAAAGCGTCCTTTAGCAGCTTTTTGATAAGTATAAACGACTTTGTAGTGAGTCACGTGGGTACGTGTCACTTGTTGTATGACAAATATATGTGGTATATATTTATGCATACTTTTCACGAGTTCTTCATTTTTCTGACTGTGTAATGCCGTGCATTGAATTTAACAGAAATGTGAACGAGAGACGTTATTATCTTTGACCCATCAAATGAATGGAGTCATTTATTTTCAGAATCAAAGTTTAACATCAAACATTTACATTAATTTGGCAAAATATGAAAATAATAACAGACAGTTTCACAGAAAATGAACTTCAAATCACTCGGCGGTGATTTGAGGACTTTGCTTCAGATATTTCTAAAATATCTGTACTAGTTTTGTGAGAGAGAGGTGAGTTTAAGAGGAAATTGAGATTTATCTTACAGAGGAATATGTGAGGGAATTTAATCTGTTTAACCAGAAATTGCACGCTCCGTCAGATCTCAGCTTTGTCCCAGGTACACTTTAGTCGAAGAAGAAACCGTTACCTTGTTGACGATCGATCATCTCAGTAAGAATCCTTTTCAACTGATATCAGCGTCTCCGTTGAGAACAGCTAAAATCCTTGGAGAGTCGTGCGTGGTTAGCTCAAAACAGAATTATAATCCCAAAACGTCTCTGGATTCTAGTAACTCTGACTCTTCATTGTCAGCAGCTCTCAGACTCTTTCTCCAAAACTCTCCATAACTCTAGTTTTCTTCTGAACTCCTTCAGAACTTTTTCATTCTCGGAATCTTTTCCATTCTAACCTAACATGAACTGGGAAGTTGCCACATTTTATTTGGGTCGACTTCCGGTTCAATTTAGAGCTTTCTGATTCGTGGATGTACCAGAAAGAGGTGTGGTTTTTTGACGTAAGTTATTATCAAAAGTCAAGGATTGTTTTCAACATACAGAAAAGATTATTGCAGTCGACCAGACTTCGTGGAGTCTCACACTTGGTAATCTTTTCAAATAGTAAAACATGACATTTCTTCTTCAGTAAACATTTAGTTGACCGAAGCTTCAACTTTCACATACTTACGACTTGACTCATTTCAGACAGAAAATCAAGAAATGCATATTCAGGTGATTTCTTGTTTGAATGAGGAATAAAAATCATTACTTACTGTTTATGTAAAATAAAAATGAGTAGTTCTTTTCAACCTGTAAGGCATTGAGTGAAACTAACACAATTTGATTATCAAAACATTTGTAAAACAGTAATGATTATAGAGGATTGTCTTTTCTGCTTGATTAATTCAAGAAAGAAAGTTCATCAGATGGCTCAGACTTATTCAAATCAATGAAAATAACAGTCTCTGTCCATCTGGTAGATTTGAGGTCATCTGGTTCACTACAACTTCAAACAGCTGTTAAAGTTGTTTCATTCACAAACGACGTGCAGCAAATGTTTTACATCTTCACATGGGCGTCAGAAGCATCTGTAATGTGGGGGGGACACTATAGTGTGTGTGTGCATGTGCGCACATGCACCAGTGTCCAAAAAATTGTACACTAGTGTATAAAAAAGCAACATTTCATCTAGATTTCCTTACTTTCATTCCATTTAAAGCATTTTTCTCACCAAGTTTGTGTAAATACAGACATTTGATCTATAATGCACTACAGATCGGCACTATTTGTGTTTATAAAGAAATAAAAAAACATCACCACTGGACTTTTTTACTTGTGTTCAACACTACTCATCTAAAGGATTTTTCTCATGAAGCTTGAGGACAATAAGGTGTGGGGTTTTAAAGACATTTCAACTTTCATGCACCTGAACACAGTCTCTTACACCTGCAGCGTCTTACAGCGTCACAGTTACGGCTAAGATTCTACAGACGTAGCTCTGCACTTCTCTCAACCCCCCGGTTAACAACTGCCTGCACTAAACCTGCTAAACTGGCGAGCAATCAGCACAGAGGTGTCTCCATCCATCAGCGTTCTCTACCGAGGCAGGAGGAGATGCATAGAAACTCTGCAGGTTGGTGGAAAGTTGGAGGTAACCAGGAAAACCTGGAGTGGATTTTTAGTGGTTTGAGTGTTCTCCTATTAATCAAGTGGAATGAATTCATTCATGAAGAAAGAGGGGTCCAAATGAACGTTTTTTTAATGTGGGGGTGACATGTCCCTTTCACATATAATGGTTGTGACACCTACGCATCTTCGTGGTGCTGAGCAAACACTGGAAATCTGTAGGTTTGTTTGGATAAAATCACATCTGCAAAGAACCTTCAAGACAAGAAAGTTCATCATTTTGTACAGGATGAGGAGGTAGTGCAGCACACCACCACAAAACATCACAGTAAAAAAGAGAAAGTAAACCTGGACCTGTTTATCTTTGAGGGAAAACCTACAAGTGTTGTTCTTTTTATTACAAGTGATCTCACAGACTCACTAAGAACTGCACGAAACGAGGATTTTTATCAATTTTGTTCTCTTCTAATCTGATGCCGCTTCTCAATCTAACAACCAAAGCAGGGCAAATGTTTTATTTTTGTTGCTTTCAAATCAAATTAACTAACATACTTCAACTGTCAGGAGTGATGGTTTTGGAGCAGAACCCAGTGGTGCAGGCAGGACTCAGAGACTCAGAGAGTAAAATAAGAAGCACTTTAATGAACACAATAAAAAAATCTGTCGTGGCAGCAAAACAATTACATGGCTCGAAGGAACACAAGAGAAACACCAGAGACTCAAGGAAGGAAACCAGACGATGCCCAGACAAGGAATAACACAGACACAGACTTGTATACAACGACTAACGAGAAATAACACACCTGTGAGGAACACAGCTGGAACAGATCAGACAGAAAAGGGAAACCAGGGGGTGTAGGAAGAAAAACCAACCACCAGAGGGCACAACCCTCACATTGCCTTGTGTTGATCAAATTATTTATTGGTTCATTTGTGATGTTTTTGATAGAAACTTAGTTGCTAATTGTGAAAACAAGCTGTTTACAGTCCAGGTGCGTGTTGGTTTCCTGTTTGAAGTTCATCTTTGTTGGGCTGCAGTTGACCAGTTGACCCTGACCAGTGCAACAACACTGGGACATCTCAGAAAGCACAACTTTTCCAGCACCACTGACACTGATGTTGTTAAACAAAACAAAAATAAAATCTATTACCTTAAACAAATGAAAGGTTCTTGACATTTAGCTACCAGTCTCTTCACTGCTGCTTCTGCCGTATGGACCTGTTTACAGACACTGGTGTGCAGCTCATAGATTGTATTTTGTGACGCATTGTGGTCAGGGGCCACTGTGGTGTAGAGTCAACTTGGGACCAGAAAGTTGCAGGTTCAACTCCCAGCCATTCCCACATGTCATAGTACACATAATCCGTAATTGTTCCCCAGGTGCTTACACAGCTGCCCACTGCTCCACCTGGGTGTATCTCAGGTGTGATGGGTTAAACACAGAGAACTAATTTCATCATTGTATGGAAACATACAGTGATGACAACACATAGCACTTTCTTTCTAGGGTCATGCCTTCTTCATGTTCTTCATCATTTAACTGACTTTTATTTGTCATTTGTGTATCACGGACTATGACCTCCTTATCTGACCAACAACTCTAAGAAATGATTCTTAAGTTTGAAGTTATATCTTTGTGTTCACTTTTGTCAGCGGCTGGTGTTCTAACACCTTACTCTACCATAGCTACCAGAATAATGTCTGTGGACAAGGGGTGCCTGACTTTACGCTCGTGCACTGGGTTCGGTACAAAGGTCCATTGCTGAAAGGTGTACCTATGACCAGTTTTAGTATAAGTAAGTATTTTAACATTTACTAACATCAGTCAGACAGAAAGTTCAACGTGACTCTTGAGTTTTCCTCAGCTCCTGCAGCATATTGGATTCTGCACAGCCTCGTGCATGAGTACGTGGCATGCAGGCACAACTGGCATAAGTTTTAAGTTTTTATTGTTAGTTTTAAATTAGGAAGGGGAGGCATTATCCTGATCAAATAAAGATTAATATTTGTGCAAGGAATGCTTTTTTATTGTGGCTTTAAGCACAATCTTATGTGCGATGTGTGATCTGCCATGTTAACTCTTAGCCCTTTAAATGTTGGTTGCAGATCACTCTCAGCTACTGCCACAGTCAATACCTGTAAAATGAACCGTGTTCTAGCTGTTTTTCCATCCATTATCTTTACCCGCTTATTCCATTTTGGGTCAAGGGGGTCGCTGATGCCCATGTCCAGTCATCATTGTGCGAGGGGCGGGGGACACCCTGGACAGGTGTCCAGTCCATCACAGGGACACATAGAGACAAATGGGACAAACAACCATTCACTCTCTCACTCACACCTAGGGCCAATTTAGAGTTACCAATCAGTCTAACATGCATGTTTTTGGACTGTGGGAGGAAACCGGAGCACCCGGAGAAAACCCACGCATGCACGGAGAGAACATGCAAACTCCACCCAGAAAGAGCCCTGCTCGCTGGGAGGCAGCACCTCTACCAGCTGCACCACCGTGCTGCCCTTCTAACTGTTTTTGTTTCAGTTAATCTTGATTAGCTGTGCTGACTGTTTTAAGTCAGACTGACTAAAAGTTAATCAGTTGCAGATGTACATGTAGTGATGAATGATATGTGTGCCTGTGCCAAGTGTCCATTTATTTAACATCTTCTCTGTTTCCAGAATTGGTTGGCCTTAGAGAGGATAGGCTGAAGGCCGGAAGCTGCTGCTTGCTGGTCCAGCGCTCGGTCTTCAAACTGGCTCCTTCTCTCTCCTTCAACGACAGGCTCCGCAGGGCTTAATTTGAGCCGGATCCTGCAGGAACAGGATCCAGGAACTCTTTTATTTAGATAGGGTGCATACTGGTATCTGTTTGCTTGGATCCAGTAACTCTCAGGCTTACTAATAATAAAGTTACAAACAAATATGACTGCCTAGAAGGAATAAAACCTATATTGGACATGTAATCTGAAAATAATTACATAAACACTTATTTTAAACCTAACAGCCACTTACGAGCTTCTTAATTTCACATCAGAGCTGCCCCTTCAAGATAGCACTTCCACTTCTACCCTTAAATAATCTCCGCCCATAAAAGTTCAGTCATGAGTAATTTAATTAAAAACACAAAAATATAATTAAACAGCACAACTAAACTGCAAATCAGTTTTATAGTTTAAGTGGGTCATTAATAAAATTTGTTTATTTATTAAAAATATGAGAGAAATGTTTGATGTGTAATCACATTACGTATGTCACGTATCAAAACAACGGCGCCAACTTGTCAAAAATAACAGCGATCAAAATGTCGAAAAGACACTCCAGTTAACTTTCATTACAAAACAACAGCCTTCTTTTTATCCTTAGTTGGACAACCAGAAATTGAAACACTTTAAGGTAGTGGCACTCGAGCAGGAGCGACGAGTGGTGGGGGTGAGTGCCGAGCTAACCGGGCAGTCGTACACAGGCAGCAGCAACGAACAGACGAAGGAGGAGGCTGGAGGTGTCGCGTGGAGTCGGACAGTGAATTCATCCGAGAAGAGTTGGGCTCAGAACCATCAAGTATGGGGGAGGAGGGGGGCAGGATGCTTGGCGGAAGCGGCGTGTACAAATGTATGTAAACGTAGATGTTAAACAACTCATTAAAATACAACAAAATGCAGGAAATGGTATCTCTATCATTCGGACCCCCCCAGGGGCCCCCAACCCCCGTGGCTCCAGGGTTGCGCTCCAGCATTGACCGGTTTACAAATGAAGCCCTGAGGATCTATCCTTGTGCCATGTCATTCTGGGTCATAATTTACTTCAGGAATTGTGGGTTCAGGGACGCAGCAGGAGGCCGACGCTCGTCTGCTTGACTGTTTCAGGGTTTCTCTGTTTATTTATTTATTGTCTCCCAGTTACCTTTACTTTTGTTTGAGAATAATTGTTTCTATTAAAAATGATCTGAAACGTTGTAGTCATCCTCACTCCATATGTTGTGTCAGAGCCCAGACCTGTGAAGCTGGTCACACACCTCAGTTTAACCCTGTGGTCAGATTATTATCCATCTTTTCTCCAGGTACCATCCTTTTGAACAAGGCCATTGTTTTCTGATAAACCAAATATTCGTTGATCTCTAGTATATTTTTTATTATTACTTTAGTCAGTTTCTAATTATTTAGACAAACTTTGTGGCTTTTTCTTTTGTTTTTGTGCAAACACCTTAATTCAGATACATCCGATGATTGTATCAGAAACTTTCATGAAAATCTGTCAAGCGGTTCATGGACATTTTGCTAACACTACAGACAAAGAGACACACAGAAAGAGAAACGGGTAAAAACATTGTTACCTCTGTTTTTCTTCCATCTAACGAGGAGCTCCAACAGTGCATAGAACAACGCATCCCAGGCAACAAAACCACCCATCACTTTCATCAACCATTGGTTTGCCGTGCTGTCAATCATCTGCAGACCTGTGAATATGGCTGCCACTGCGTGGTTTCAGACAAAGATGTTTCAAACTTTACACCGTGTTTTCTTTATATTTTTCATCTGAATTGACAAAAGGGTAATAAAAAACCCTGAACTCACCACCAAGACCTTTTGCTGCTACTGCAATGAAAGCATGTGACCAGTTGAACAGAAACCTCCTGTGAATTATAATGAAATTAATCTAAATTATTACCTTGTAAAACAAAAACATTCTCCGACAAGAACTGACAGTGTAGTCTTACGTGACATTTGTTCATGCCGTCACACATTTAGGTAGAAGCAGCGTAAGAAGATACATCTTTGTATAAAGTTCACAATAAAACTGAATTTTTGAAGTCTAAAGATGAAGAAATGGTTCCAAAATATTTTTTCTCGTGATATTTTTCATGTTGCAAATATTAGCCATACAGTTTTATTTCTCCTCTTTTATTAAAAGGAGAACTGTACACTTTATGAGGGTTATTTTTTTATCTAACAGTTGGAACAAACTTTAAAAATATAGATGTTTCTGTTCTGGGGTCAAATTATTGAATGATCCAAGTTAAAAACAAAAAAAAATCATTTACAAAAATAATTTAAATTTAGGTTGTTTGTGGATTATAAGTTAAGTAATATACCTGTGAAGATTGCATTGTATTTAAGATTAGGGAATTTATTTCCCGAGGGTTATTTCTTTCCATCTTGAGAATTTCTGTGATTTTTGAATTTAACATGTGATGCTTCACATTCTGCCTTTTTTACTTGTTTTGTGTTATTTTATTTATATAATTGAAAATAAAATGTATAATTCATTCATCAATTTAAGGTTGTAGTTTGACACGACTGTCAACAAGGAAGAGGGCCGGCAATGGAGGAGGGGGCGTAACATAGAGACCATCTTAGCACCAACATAACTGGTTTGTTCCACTTTGGAGTAAGCTGTTTGAGGAAGAATCAGTTTTGATGTGTGTTTCCTTGACTGATGAAGCCTTCCGGATCGAAGGCGAAACGTTTCAGTGCCACAAAAAAAGAAACTGTCCAGATGACCTGACTGAAAAATGTTGGATTGTACATCTGGATTATTGAGCATGGACTTTGTTGTTGTAGTATACTGTTGTGTATTGTCAAGCTAAATCAGTTGCTAAGGTTTTCTAGCTTCTACAGTCTGCATTCAACATCATCCAGTCAGATTTGTTTCATTTCAAACTGGTGCTAAATGCTGACAAAACCAAAGGGATGTTGTTTTCAAATGGAAAGTCAGTACCAGCTGTTCTTCCTTCTACTGTATTTCATCCATGCAACGTGTGCCTATTGCGTTTGTGGATTCTTACAAATACTTGGGAATCTTGGTCGACGCACATCTCTCTTTAAAGCTGCATGTCAAAAACTTGATTAAAAAACTGAAATTAAAACTGGGTTTCTTTTTCATAAATAGATCCTGTTTAACTCTGAACTCCAGGAAACACCTTGTAACCACTACCTTCCTACCGGCCATCGACTACAGTGACATTATTTACATGACTGCTCCTGCCAGCACCCTGCAGATGTTTGATGCTGTCTACCATGGCACGCTAAGATTCATAACTGGTTGTAACTACGCTACCCACCACTGCACCCTGTATTCACTGGTCAGTTGGTCATCAACATTATCTACACTCAACAGAACAGAAAACAGTGACTCGTGTAAATCATTTTATTTTTGGAATTTGTTCAGTATGAAGGTCCTTACCGTGGATGTTGTGGTCCACAGCGCAGCAGAGCCAGTGTGGGCTGGATCAATGTCAAAATCATGACCAGGCAGCCCATCACAGAATGGGCTCCCTGCAATCCACACACGTTTTAATTGGCAGCAAAACACAAAAAAATTATTTACACGGGGAAACGAGGAGGAACAGAGCATGACGGCTGCGATAAACACAATTCACGGACGAGGGACAAACAAAATGAGACGTTATTTCAAGAGACACTAATGATGGACAGTGACAAAGACCTGGGGAGAGACGATGAGGATCAAGCTTGAGAGTGGGAGCTGACTACATGAGGGATACACACTGAGAAAGCTGAAAACACAAGTACCGTATTTTTCACGTTTTTTTTGCATAATTTACATGCCCTGCGACTTATAGGCTGAAGTGACATCTTTATGGATTTTTTCCCATATTTATAAACTATTTTTGGCCGTTTCCATTCATTCTGACTGAAAAAAAATTTGAGCAGTACCACTTTCAGCCACTTGATGGCAGCAGAGTAGTACTAGCAGTATGGCATGCTGGTGGCTGTTGAATCATGTAATAGGTAAATGTGGCTATAACGACAAATTCAAAAAAGTTCAACACAAAAACAACTGGACTTTATTTATTATACTTTACTTTATACTTTGTTTTTTCTTGAACTTTTTTGAATTTACCATGTCCTAGATGACTGAGAATCTTCACCAGCTATTAATGACACAATCGGCTTGCCATAGTTCTCCACCTCCTTCATTCTGCTCCTTGTTTGGAACCGTCAAAACAGCTGCACTGCCCCGGCGAAATGCAGCTAATTTGACCATTAAAGTGCATTTATTAAGCAAACGTTACACTGAGACACACCTTTGCTATAACTTCGAGCAAACAAATAATTGTTTTGAGGCGTTTATCTTGTTAAATTTGCACAGTGACTCGTCGCTTGCACACGTTTACTTCCACGTATCGGGTTTTGAAATGCAGTTGATTTCACCCTCAAAGTGTATTTATTAAGCAAACGTTAGACTGAGACACACATTTGGTATAATTTCAAGCAAACAAATAATTGTTTTTAAGTGTTAATCTTGTTAAAGTCTTGTTAAAGTTCTCCCGTGCACGCTCCCGCAGCCGCCATTTGGTGGCCCATCGGTTTCTGGCACAACATCGGCCTGCATTTCCGGGTTGTCAGTGGTGACGTGTAATAGATGCGACGTATATGGCGAAGCGACATATTTAAGGATTTTTCCACTTTATAAGACAAATATGGACTGATGCAACTTACAGGGCGGAGCGACGTGTATGGTGGAAAATACGGTAACACAGACTCATAAAATCTAAATGCAATAATCACAGGAAGATAAAAACCTCATGAAACACAAGGATCCTGACTATTTATAGTTTCTCTTTTCCTTTTACTTTTATTTGGCATTTTATTACCAATTGATTTTTTATTGGTTTTTCATGTGGTGTTAATCGTTCATGTTTGGTCGTGTTGCTTGTATTAGTTTGGTGTTGTAAGCACTTGGAAGTGTATCCTCACTTGAAAGGTGACAATAAAAAATAAAGTTGATTTAAGAAAAAAAAACAACATATTAAAGTTTTAATAGTAGTTGTGCACTCACCTCAGCCCAACCCTGAACATGTGAGAAGGCAAGGATGAAAGCAATGCTGGTTTCTACAACTGTGAGAATCATCACTGTAACGTGAACCTAAAGGCACAGAAGGTACAACATGATGTTAAACACGTGTTTGTTTCAACAATACATCTCTTTATGACTATAATTTTCTCTATGAATATTCAACAACAATTCATATTTGGACAGCGCTATTTTCTGATTTCTCACCACAAACCAGATGTCTTTGCCACACAGTTTCTTTCCTTTGGCCATTCCTTTCAAATATCGAGCCACCATCATTCCCAGTGAGCTGGTGGTCATCCAAGCTATCAGCATCAGGGACCCTAAAAGCACAAAATAAAATTTAGGTGATTCTATGTCCTTACAGTCGACTTCACTGTTAGGTGAATCAAAGGTTGAACCCAGGACAAGATTGGATCACCGGACGGACCAAAGTATTTGTTAGGCAACCAACATGTTGTGTTCTAGGGTGCTTAATACTGTGACATCTCTAGCATTGCAATCAAATTATCCAGTTCATCTTATGGGAATGAGTTTGCTGTGGCTCCTCAGACTGATGAAGTCCTTTGGATGAAGGACGAAACGTTTCAACAAAAAATAAATAAACTGGCCAGAGGACCTGACTTGACTTTGTTGGATCTTCAGTTCATCCTACTTCTCACGCAAGTTTAATTATTTGTAAATAAAGTAACAGTTTGATTTTATATTTATGACATGCAGATTATGAAGCCAGGACAGCAAGTTACAGACACTGTGGTGAAGGATGTCGGCATGTTTGGCAGGGTTTGAATAGTTTTATGAAAATAAGTAAACTGTTAATTTAAACTGTCTCGTTTTGTCAAATATGTCCAGTATAAGCTGTGCCAGTAACTATAGCCCTCTTTTTGCCATGAAGAAGACAAAGACTTTTTCTTCTTCTTTCATCTTTTTTCTCTTCAGGGGTCGTCACAATGAGTCATCTTCCTCCATCTCACTCTGTCCTTTGCATCCTCTGTCCTCACTTAAACTAACTCCATATCTTAACTGCATCCATACATACATCTGGACTAGGCCTGTCACGATAACAAATTTTGCTGGGCGATTAATTGTCTCAGAAATTATTGTGATAAACGATAGTATTGTTTGAAATTTGACAATAATTAGTACTTCTTGTCAAATTTAAGAAGATATGTTGGTTACTTTTTGTGTGTAGTACCTTTTTTGACCACTGGATAAGACAGTTTGAACCGAAGGATGGATAGTGAGGGAGCGAGCAGCATGTCTCTTTAAGAAAAATGGGAGAGAGGCCTCTTGACGTGACATGGGCTATCTCTTGTTCCTGTTTTTTGGTTCTCAAAATGGCGGACGCTCGGTGTGGTTTGAGCTCTTTAGCATAGCATTTGTCACACAAAGCTTTTAATAAAAAAAAATCAGTAAAACAACTTCTCAGTTTCGTTTTGCAGAGAAAAACAACTTTTTACATGAAGCACGGGTTTCAACCATGATTTCTGGAGCTTCGACAAGACGAAGGTTTTTTCCCCGAGGTCGGCTTGTTAGCTTAGTTCATAGCTTAGCTGCTTTTAACGACCAAGTATGTGATTTTAGATGGTTAAAACAGATTTTAAAGAGAAAAGAGAAAGGGAGGGGTCAGTGAAGAGCACCAGAGTTGATCCTTTAGTCATCCAGTGTCTTCAGTAGAAAGAGACATGAAGAAACGATAAAGCCGATAAATGAAAATGAGGTTGATAATTTTCATTTATCATGCGATTAATTGAGTTATTGTTTATTGCGACAGACCTAATCTGAACATGTCCAAGCCATCCGTGCCTGGCCTCTAACTTTATCTCCCAGTTGTTCAACCTGTACTTCTGATAATCTCATTCCTAATCTTATCTTGTCACTCCTAAAGAGAAACTTGCCCTCTTCATTTCTGCCACTTTCAGTTCTTTTGTCTTTTTGTCCATGTCTCTGTCTCCAGACCATACAACATAGCTGGTCTCACCACTGTTTGTAAACTTTTCCTTTGACCCTTTTATCACAAATCCCTCCTGAAACTTTCCTCCATCTACTCTGTCCTGCCTGGACTCTCTTCTTCACCTCTTTACCACACTCCCCATTTTCATGGACAGTGGACCCCAAGTACTTGAAGTCCTGACCTTTGTGACCTCTGCTCCTTGTAGCCTCACTGTTCCACCTCCTCCCTCTCATTCACAAACACATGTACTCTGTCTTACTACAGCTGACTTTCATTCAAGTCAAATCAAGTCAGTCAAGTAGGTTTTATTGTCATTTGCATCACATGTGGTACACGAGATGGAATGAAATTATGTACACAGAGTCCCAGTTACTTCCAACAATAGCAAAAATATTTGTAAATTGTAAAGAGAAACATTAAATAAGAATCTGAGATATACTTTAAACTAAAAAATATGCTAAGCACTAACGCCCCTTTTCCATAGTGACGGCTAGGAACAGTTCGACTCGACTCCGACTCAACTCAGTTCAGCTCGGTACATGTTGCTTTTACATACACTTCAGTACCGGTTCTAGTGGGCGTGTCCAGAATCTAACATGCCTTACCAGCTGGTGGCAGTAGTGCTCCACTAAGTTATTTACAAGTCACCACTAAATGTATTAGAAGAAGACCCTGAAAAGATACACAACAAAAATGGAGGATATCATTGCTTTACTGAAAAAAGAAATAACAATGTGTATGCCTCTTTTGTGACTGTCTATTGTTGTCATTGTTATTCACTGTTGTCTTCACTCTTTGTTACGAAATCAGTTCTCTCTTGTAAATGAGTTCCAGAGGCTCAATGGGATTAACCTGTCTAAATAAAAGGTTGTGTATACACACACACACACACACACACACGCCCGCCCGCACGCACGCACGCACACACACACACACACACACACAGGTTTGTTTTGCTATCTTTGTGGGGCCTTTGCATTGACTTCCATTCATTTTTCATTCATTTCTATAGCCTAACCATGACCTTTATCCATAACCTAACCATTACCAGTACATACCTAACCCTAAACCTAACACATCCTCAATTCACACCTTAGTCCTAAACCTAGCCCCTAACCCACCAACGGGACTTCTTCTTATGGGGCCCGGGCTTTGGGGCCCATAAGGAGCAGTTGGTCCTCACAATGTAGTATAAGTTGGGAAAATGGGCCTCACAAAGTAGCATAAAAAAGGACACACACACACACACACAGGTTTGTTTTGCTATCTTTATGGGGCCTTTGCATTGACTTCCATTCATTTTTCATTCATTTCTATAGCCTAACCATGACCTTAATCCATAACCTAACCATTACCAGTACATACCTAACCCTAAACCTAACACATCCTCAATTCACACCTTAGTCCTAAACCTAGCCCCTAACCCACCAACGGGACTTCTTCTCATGGGGCCCGGGCTTTGGGCCCCATAAGGAGCAGTTGGTCCTCACAATGCAGTATAAGTTGGGAAAAGGGGCCTCACTAAGTAGCATAAACAAGGACACACACACACACACACACACACACACACACACATATATATATATAAAAAAAACGTTCAATACAAAAACAACTGGACTTTATTTGTAACAGAAGACGTTTCGCGAGCGCAGCACGGTGGCGCAACTGGTAGAGCTGCTGTCTCTCAGCGAGCAGGTCCCTGGTTCAAACCCCGGTCCAGGGGCCTTTCTGGGTGGAGTTTGCATGTTCTCTCCGTGCATGCGTGGGTTTCCTCCCACAGACCAAAAACATGCATGTTAGGCTGATTGGTAACTCTAAATTGTCTCTAGGTGTGAGTGAGAGAGTGAATGGTTGTTTGTCTCGTTTGTCTCTATGTGGCCCTGTGATGGACTTGCAACCCGTCCAGGGTGTCCCCCGCCCCTCGCACAGTGATTGCTGGACATGGGCACCAGCGACCCCCGTGACCCAAAATGGAATAAGCGGGTAAAGATAATGGATGGATGGATGGATGGATGGATGGATGGATGGACGTTTCGCGAGCCAGTCAGTGCAGGCGAGAAGGAAAGAACTGGGCGTGCCTGCAGCTGAGTGATGGTATCACGGTGGTGCGAACACAAGGGGGCGCCATCTCCTAAGTTCAACGCTCACAAGCAGCCAAGCCCTACAAATGTAACTGAATAAGGTGGAAATTAACAAAGAACAGTGTTGAAATAGAATGAGTGGTTAAGTTAAAGGTTAAGTCAAAAGCCACAACAAGTCTCTATAACACATTTGTCAAAGATTACCTGATTTCTACTGGACTTCAAAGTGATTTATTGTTGTTTAAGAAAAGAGTTTGTGTTTTGCTTAAAATCAAATTAAGCGTGAAAATTCACAAGGTTCTTTAAGTTGAAGTACAAACGTTTTGAGAGTGAAGCTCATTACAGCTAAAGTATGAAATAACATCCATCCATCCATCCATTTTCTTTACCCGCTTATTCCATTTTGGGTCACGGGGGTCGCTGGTGCCCATGTCCAGCAATCACTGTGCGAGGGGCGGGGTACACCCTGGACAGGTCGCAAGTCCATCACAGGGACACATAGAGACAAACGAGACAAACAACCATTCACTCTCTCACTCACACCTAGGGACAATTTAGAGTTACCAATCAGCCTAACATGCATGTTTTTGGTCTGTGGGAGGAAACCGGAGTACCCGGAGAAAACCCACGCATGCACGGAGAGAACATGCAAACTCCACCCAGAGGGGCCCCTGGACCGGGGTTTGAACCAGGGACCTGCTCGCTGAGAGGCAGCAGCTCTACCAGTTGCGCCACCGTGCTGCCCGTATAAAATAACAATAATCCCAAAGTAATAGTCAACTCATATGTAAGTTACAAGTTTGAAGAAGTATTTGTAATTTAAACATAAGGCATTGAGTGAAATTTATCCAGACTCACAAGATGACTGACAAAAATCATAAGGAGCTCTATGCTGTATCACGTACTGAAGTAGAAGGAAATGATGATGAGCAAATCCCAGAAACGCAAACTGTTCGTAGAAGTGAAAGAGTAAGAACATTAACCGAAGGGGGTAAAGAGCTTCAAGAGGAGAAACTCAAGGGCCTTAAAAACAAATATGTAGCCGTTTTTGAAAAATGGAAATGTGAAGCAAAACTGAGCAAATTAGCATTAGAAAGAGAGGCTTCTGAGAGCGAATTAAAGGAGCTGATTAAGGATGTGAACATCACCTGCAGAAATGTACAAACCATCTACGAACAAATACGACAAATACAACCTCCTGATGCAGACGCAAGGTGCAAAGTAGATGTATGTACATCACTTTCTGCATGTATTGTCAAAAGAGCTGAAAATCAGCTTAAAGGACACCTTCCAGAAAGTGAAGAAGATCCGTGGCCAGTTTGCACAAGCAGAAAGGCTGTGTTTTGGATGTTTAAAGAGAGGATATCATTCGAAGAAGTATGACAACAGGAACACGTGTGAAAAATGTAAAAGGAAACATCCTACATGTTTACATGATGCCAAGTTTGTTGAACGTAAAAGAGTAACACCTGCAACGAGTGAGAACATTAAAGACGAAGCAGTCGCTAAAGAAGAAGCTAAACCAGCAATCTCTAATAGAGTAACTCAAGCAACTTCAAGCACGTTGACGTCTTCCATCATATCTGTCTGGGTTTCGTCAAAAAAACATCCAGACAGGGAAGTTTTAGTATATGCACTCCTCGACTCACAGAGTGATACATCTTTCATCTTGGATGAAGTAGCTCAAGATCTCGACACGGATAAAAGTAAAGTCAATCTGCGATTGTCAACCATGTCCGCCGAGTCAACAGTTATACCATGTGACAAGCTGGTAAACCTTCAAGTTAGAGGATATGAGCATGAAAAGAGAATCACATTGCCACCAGTCTATACAAGAGAGCTTATCCCTGCCAACAGATCACATATCCCAACGTCTGAAACTGTCCTAAAGTGGCCTCACCTCGAAAGGCTAGCAGATAAGCTACCCCCTTTGCTAGAATGCAAAGTTGGTCTACTTATCGGCTATAACTGACAACAAGCCCTCCTACCACGCAAAGTTCTCCAAGGCAAAGAGAACCAACCTTACGCACAGTTAACCAATCTCGGCTGGAGCATAGTCGGCGGCTCACCTCAAGTTCAAAATTACAATGACGTCATCGGCACAAGCCACAGAATCATTGTTCGTGAAGTAACTCGTGTCACAACCAGCAGTCGAACTCAAGCAACAAGTGCATTTTGCCAGTTTGGCCCAGTTGGAATCCCAGAGAAATGGGTCCTGAAAAAGTTGCCGGTTCCACAATAAACTGCAAGTGGAAAAAGACTTGGAACCGTACCGAGCCGAGTCGAACTGTGCTGAAGAGGAGCTATGGTTAGCACTGTTGCCTCAAAGCAAGAAAGTCCTGGGTTCTGTCCCTGATTTTGGACCTGGGAACTTTCTTTTTTGAGTTTGCATGTTCTCCTTGTGGGTTTTCTCTGGGTACTCTGTTTTTTTTAGTTTTTTTTAATCTCCAGTCCAAAAATGTGTATGTTAGGCTGCCTTCAGGCCCAGGCCTCCTTTAAAAAGAGATTGTGATCTCAAGGGGATTTCCCTGGTGAAATCAAATAATATCAACTCCATTATGTTCAGATTTTTCGTGCTGCACATTTACAAAAAGCATTGAAGACTAGGACCTTTTGTCAGTGAAAAACTGACTTTGTTCTGAACAAAAAATTAAGACAAACAGTTTTAAATCTTTGTTTGCCAAATGAAAACATTTTGAAATGATCAATGGCTTCGAGTTTACTGTAGAAAAATCCCACCAAGTTTTACCCAAATACTTTCACAACAATTAGCCAAATGCCGAACTGCTTTATTCCTTCATTTTCTACTCGACCACATGGCACACGTAACTGAGACTTTACAAAATGTTACTATTTTTATTACTGTTGCATGATATTTCTGGTGTGTTTACAAATTAGGGCTAAAAAAAAAGACTGGACTGAAACATTACCCAGAAAACCAAACAGAACCATGGAATTTGCATCCCTTTTCCAGCCTTGTTTGGTACCCAACAGAATGTTAATCTAAAGCATGGATGAGTAAATAGTAGTTCTATGTCCTTTAACCACATGTCTGTTTGACCAAATGAAAATAAACATACCAAGAAATAATGCATCACTAAAATGTACATTTTTTTCAAGAAATATTAGATAAATTGACTGTATTTGAAACATTTGTTTTAGAGATATTGTTTAAGATGGAAAATACATGTTCAAGAATTAGGCTAAAACAAAGGAGAGAAGGATGCATCAAGATATTAAGCTGCCAAAGTTTTAGTCAAACCTGCAGTATATGATGCTAATCTAGCAGAGAAAAATAAAGTTTAGCTGAATTAAGATACTTCTGTAGGCTGGAACTCACCGTGTGCTTGCATGATTGGAGGAAACTCATCATCAGCATTTTGAAGAATTTGAGGATTGGAAACAGCCATCTTTGCACTGCTGGCAAAGGTATTTTTATGGGTCTGGATTACTCCTGTTGGACAGAAACATAAATGACACAGTTTCAAAAGCTATATATGGATAAATTCAATATGTTATTTCAACATTGTTGAGCCTAAAAGTAATAAACAGGAACACAGAACTGACCACAATACGTTCTAAATAATTTCCATACATACATACATCTATCCATACATACATACATACATACATAACCCTTACTATCTCCCCTTGTCTTTTTTCCATTAATGCTGTAATCCTCTTGTTTTTCTCACACACATTAAAAAAGACACACCATTGATATGTATGTGGTACACGAATGTCTAATATTCTGTACATACAAGAATTTTCCCATAGTTTCCAGACTATCGAAGTTATTTTTTCTTGATCTAGTAAAAGTAACATGTTAATAATATCACTTTGAGTAATGCTTTGAATTCCACCAAATCAGTCATTTTTGTTAAGCAAATCAGTTAATTTATTTGTTAGAACCTGACTGAGCAGAACAGTGAGTATGTCCTATTGCACTTGAATGCAGCCCATGCAGTGTATTCATGTAACCTGGCACATTCAAAGGTGGGCTAGATGCTGCTTTGGGCTACAGAAGGTAAGATGTGCAATACCTTGGGTCCTAATAGGATACATTTTTCTTGCTTGATTCACATTTATAAGTTGTATACATATAGTTGTGTTGGAATAGGACTGTTGTTTCTTTGACCATGGAAAGTTATCTGGCCTTTTTGAGGTAATCACTGCAGTTCCTCTGTTTTTGATACCTCAAACAAGTCAATAAAGAATTGTCAACCCAGATCCAACCTGTCTTCCTTCATGCATCACACCGCAGGACACAATGCAGTTAAAAACGGGATAAACATATGATGAATTTTCTCTACGATGTTCTTTAGGTGTGCTAGAAAAACTTACATACAGTACCTCAACTTTGTGTTTTAATAATAATAATAATAATAATAATAATCATTTTATTTAAAAAGCACCTTTCATGACACCCAAGGACACTTTACAGTAAGAACAAAGAACAAAGGTTTTAAGTACTATAAATGTACAAAGTATAAACACAAATATTTTGCCAGTGAAAAGATGGTTTTGCAGTTAAAATTTTTGGGCAATCCTCAACATCCGTTTTCTTACCATTGCTGCTGGGTCCATAGGCATACAAAATATAGTACATTTGGTTGATGCCAGTCGTCCTTTGAGTAGAAATCGTATTCATGGATGTGAAGGAGCAGCTGATTACCCCATTCTGCACTGATGTTACTATATCAGAAATGTTCCCCTGTTGGACAAAACATTTACAGTTTGAATCCAGACATTTGCAGTTTATTTTTGCAAGAACAACAATACAAAATGTATCCTGATGCATGCTCAATAATCCAGGTAGAAAAATCTAAAAAAGTTAAGTCTGGTTCTCTGGACATTCAAATGTAGATGACGCGATAAACCTGGCCCTCCACTTCACCCTGCAGCATCTGGATTCCCCAGGAACTTATGCTAGTATCCTGTTTGTGGACTTCAGCTCTGCATTTAACACCATCCTTCCTGTTTTGCTCCAAGACAAGATCTCTCTGCTCCATGTACCTGACTCCACCTGCAGGTGGATCACAGACTTCCTAATAGACCGGAGTCAGTGCGTGCGGCTGGGGAAAGTTGTCTCAGACACTCAGACTTTCAGCACAGGATCTCCACAGGGATGTGTACTTTCCCTTCTGCTCTTCTCCTTGTATACCAACTGTTGCACCTCCAGCCATGACTCTGTAAAGCTTATTAAGTTTGCGGACAACACCACCCTCATCGGGCTCATCTCAGATAGAGATGAGTCTGCCTACAGGAGGGAGGTGGATCGGCTGGTGACCTGGTGCAGCGACAACAACCTGGAGCTTAATGCCTAGAATACAGTGGAGATGATTGAGGATTTCAGGAAAGCCACAGCTCCTCTGCCAATACCCCCATCATCACTGTGGACTATTATCGGTTTCTCGGCACCACCATCACCCAGGACCTCAAGTGGGAGCTGAACATCAGCTCCCGCATCAAGAATGCTCAGCAGAGGATGTACTTCCTGCGACAGCTGAGGAAAGCCAAGCTGATGGTGCAGTTCTACACGACCATCATCGAGTCCATCCTCTGCTCTTCCATCACGGTGTGGTACGCTGGGGCCACTGCCAGGGACAGACACAGACTGCAGCACATTGTGTGCTCTGCTGAGAAGGCAATCGGTTGTAGTCTCCCATCTCTCCATGACCTGTACGTCTCCAGGACTGTGGGGCGAGCAGGTCAAATTACAGCTGACCCTTCTCACCCTGCATATGAACTCTTTGAACCACTCCCCTCGGGCAGGAGGTTTCAGTCCATTCGGACCAGAACCTCCCGCCATAAGAACAGTTTCTTCTCCTCTGCCATCAGACTCTTGAACACTCATAATCACATTACTTTCTAACTCTGCCTTGGTCACTTTACCACTGTATTTTAACTGCACTAGTGACCAAAAGAACAAGATTGCAGACACCAGCGTTTGAAATTAGTCTCCTCTGCAGGGTATCTGGACTCTTCCTTAGCGATGGCATGAGAAGTTCAGTTATTTTAGAGAGACTCAGAGTAGAACCGCTGCTCCTCCACATCAAGAGGAGCCAATTGAGGTGGTTAGGGGCATCTGGTAAGGATGCTCCCTGGGCGCCTCCCTATGGAGGTACTTGGGGCATGTCCGACTGGGAGGGGACTCTGGTGAACACCCAGAACACCCTGGAGAGACTATGTCTCTTGGTTGACCTGGGAATGTCTTGGGGTCCTCCCAGAAGAGCCTGAAGAGGTGGCTGTGGAGAGAGCTCAGAAGCTGTTGAAGCTGCTGAAGCTGCTGCCCCTGTGATCCTACTTCAGAACAAGCGGAAGCTGATGGATAGATGGACGGATGGATGGATGGATCTTATCCACTGCAATATGCTTCTACTGTGAAAGCATGAAGCTTTTCTTGTTTTGTAGTATCACAGAGCTACAGCCACAGTCCCTTGTCATGCTGATTGAGTTTGGCACACACTTCAGACTTCAAACTATGCAAGTACAAATCCCCAATGCATCTGCCTGGTCCAAACTTCTACACCCCCACCGTTTCCCACCCTTTCACACATGGTACCCACAATATGATGTTGGGGTGGGGGGGTGGGGGGGTAGCCTCCCACCTTGTGCATAGGGCTTTCTTTAAATACCCCCTGATGGACCTATATCTAGTTGATTTTATATTTCTGGGTCAAACTATGCTGATGTAAGAGGTTGTAGACTGTGAGGTTGGACTGGATCATGCTCATTTACACAAAACCTTAAATCTTTATATTATTAATATGAAGAAATGAACCAGGATCAATCCTGTGAACACCGGGCCTTTGAAATGTGCTGAAAAATGTCTCAAAGTTTCGAGAGGTGGGCACACCATTGGACCAAATCAAAGCTTATTGTAGAAAAATATAGGAAGTAATAATTTGTATAAATGTTACCAAACCGGCAGAAGACATCGAAACGTTGAATCATGTGGTGATACCTGGATACTCGTGAGCTGCTGAAAAGCTGAATGGATTGTCTGGCTGTAAATATGCTGAAGTTATAAGCTGCTGGAAATTTCATTATTATATTTTAAGAGTTTAAAGCTCAATATTGTATATTATATATAACATATAATATATATAATATATATAATAATAATATATATATAATGTTATATATAATATATAACAACCATAAACGGCACAAAATCCAAAAAATCATGGCCATCGTCTTTTGAATGAGCCAAAAAAAAAACTGAAATTTGAATATCTTCAGTAGGATGAAGAAAAAACAGGAAATCAATGGCAGAAGAAGAAACAGAATTTAGTGGTGTGCATTTCATGCACACTAACAGAAAAACTGCCTTACCAGAGCTATAGTTTGTGGAGTCGTGTGTCCTGTTGAAAAGGCATGTTGAACTGACAACTGTCCATTACTGCCTACACCACAAATATAAATATCATCGTTTCCCTGAGAGAGAAAAAACAACAAATTTCATAGAAATTAACCAACTTTCAACAGAACAGTAATATTTATTTTACTGCAAACTGTAAACCTTTTCTGACTCTGTAAACTAATGTCATAAAAACTTTATGGCAACTTTATTTAGAACATTTTCAAAGTTAAAGCAACAAACAGTAAACTTTGATGACTCGTAAGGAAAATGAGAATCCCTGCTAAAGTTTGGAGACATTTTGGATTGTCCCTTGTGAATGTTATTTGCCATCTTGTCACAGCTAAGTGAGAGACTACCCTAACACAGCTATAATCTTTGTGGGTATTAGAGCACTCCAAAGCCATCACTTAAATAAAGTGGTGATTCATTCCAAGTTACAAAAATAAACCATAAACTACAGTACATGCAAAAATAATAATAACAATATAAAAAAGTAGAAAAAGGCTTTTACATTTCTGAGCTACCCAATCCCTAACCCTCTTGATATGGTGATAATATAATGATACAAAGGCCTTTCTGGCAAAAAGATAAGTTAAAAAAAAACACTTAGAAATTTTAAATATAATCTGCTTTTAAGACAATTAAATAAATAAAAAAAATCTTTATGGAATTTGACACTACATTTGACATTGTTCAAATTCACACAATACTTCACAATGTTCATATTCACACAATACTTTTATTACCATTTACCATTGTTTGGTCATCTGAAAATCCAAAAGCTATGTATCCACTAGAAGGACCTGTCATTTCATATCCCAGGGCAGCACCGCTGAGAGACGTGGCCGACATAAAGTAGCAGCTAGAAGAGGATGCTGGGTCACATCCTGAAGGCTGACTGAAGCACACTTTTGTGCTACCACAGTTTGCACTGGAAATAGTTTTCTGCAAAAAGAAAAATAAATGTATACTGTACAGTCTTGTTAGGATACCCACAACAGTACAACTTTACTCTTTGCTTGCTGTGCTTGACGTATACACAGCAGCTAGGAAGCACAAGCCAGTGTATGTCTTGTGCCAGTCCCAAGCCCAGGTAAAGGGTGATGGTATTCAGGAAGGGAATCTGACCTAAACACTTTTGCTAAAATTAATATGCGAGTTCATCTAAATGACACCATTCCTGATCGGTCTAGGCTCGGGTAAACAAGGATCACTACTGATGCTGTTGACAAACATGGTGCTGGCAGAATTTGTGCTATTGTTAGTTGAAGACCAGGAGGAGCGAAACATGTCAGGAGACAGAGGGAAAAGAGGAAAGTCAAGAATTAAAGGTGGAAACTCTAAATATGGGGACAATGACTAGCAAAGGTAGAGAGCTGAATGACATGATGCAGAGAAGGAAGGTAGAGGTTTTATTCAATTCAATTTATTTATCTAGTGGCACTCCTTCCTGGGCTGCCACCTTACCATGGTGGAGGGGTTTGAGTGTCCCAATGATCCTAGGAGCTATGCTGTCAGGGGCTTCATGGCCCTAGTAGAGTCACCCAAGGCAGACAGGTCCTAGGTGAGGGACCAGACAAAGTGCAGCCCAAAGACCCCTATGAAGATTAAAATTAATGGAACCAATGTTCCCTTGCCCGGACATGGGTCACCAGGGCCCCACTCTGGAGCTGGGCCTGGACGTGGGGCACGCTGGCGAGCGTCTGGTGGTTGAGCTTTTACCCATGGAGCCCGGCTAGGCACAGCCCAAAGAAGAGACATGGGTCCCCCTTCCCATGGGCTCACCGCCTGTGGGAGGGGCCAAAGAGGTCGGGTGCAATGTGGGATGGGTGGTGGCCGAAGGCGGGGACCTTGGTGGTCTGATCCTCGGCTACAGAAGCTGGCTATTGGGACGTGGAATGTCACCTCACTGGTAGGGAAGGAGCTTGAGCTGGTTTGTGAGGTTGAGAGGTTCCGGCTAGAAATAGTCGGACTCACCTCGACACATGGCTCTGGCTCTGGAACCAGTTTCCTTGAGAGGGGTTGGACACTCTTCCACTCTTGAGTTGCCCCTGAGAGGCACCAACCAGGAGTGGGCATACTTGTTGCTCCCATCTTGGTGCCTGTATGTTGGGGTTCACCCCGGTGAATGAGAGGGTAGCCTCCCTCTGCCTACGTGTGGGGGGATGGGTTCAGACTGTTGTTTGTGCTTATGTTCCAAACGGCAGTTCAGATTACCCACCCTTTTTGGAGTTCTTGGAGTGGGTACTGGAGAGTGCGCCTCCTAGGGATTCCCTTGTTCTGCTGGGGAACTTCAATGCTCACGTGGGCAATGACAGTGAGACCTGGATGGTTGTGACTGGGAGGAATGTCCGCCCGATCTGAACCTGAGTGGTGTTCTGTTATTGGACTTCTGTGCTCATCATGGATTGTCCATAATGAACACCATGTTCAAGCATAAGGGTGTCCATATGTACTCTTGGCACCAGGACACCCTAGGCCGCAATTTGATGATCAACTTTGTTGTTGTCTCATCTGATTTGCGGCCACATGTCTTGGACACTCGGGTGAAGAGAGGGGCAGAGCTGTCCACTGACCACTACCTGGTGGTGAGTTGACTCCGATGGTGGGGGAGGATGCCAGTCAGACCTGGCAGGCCCAAACGTATTATGAGGGTCTGCTGGGAACATCTGGCAGAGTCTCCTGTGAGACAGAGCTTTAACTCCCACCTCTAGAAGAGCTTCAAACACGTTCTGGTGGAGGTGGGGGGCATGAAGTCCGAGTAGGCCATGTTCCACGCCTCTATTGTCGAGGTGGCTTATCGAAGCTGTTGCCATAAGGTTGTCTGTGCCTGTCGCGGTGGTAATCCTCGAACCAGGTGGTGGACACTGGCGGTGAGGGATGCTGTCAGGCTGAAAAAGGAGTCCTATCAGGACTTTTTGGCCCGTGGGACCCCTGAAGCAGCTGATGGGTACCGGCAGTCCAAGTGGCATGCGGCTCGGGTGGTCACTGAGGCAAAAACTCAGGCGTGGGAGTAGTTTGGTGAAGTGGTACACTAGGGCATTAACAGAGTACTCGAGTAATCTACACATCGATTGCTAGGACATCTATCGAGGTTAAAAATGTAAGGTCGGGTATCCGTAGTGACGTCATATTATGTGACCACCGTATGACCATAGGGGGCGGTGTTGCACTGTTGCAGGTCACAGAGTATGGTGTAACACGAACCAGAACCAGTTTCGGTTTAAGTTTCGTTTTTGATGTGCTGCATTTTCTTCACGTTTGCAGTTTAATAATAAAAACTAATAGTTCAGTTTATCCTGTGACTTATTTGCAGTATGATAAATGGTAGGAGCATAATATACGCCCCCCATGTTTTGTTGGTCTTTTTTTTGTAAATAATTACCTTTTTTTGCGGTTATATTTATTTATTTATTTTTGTATCTTGAGATCTATTATGACATCATCAAATACTGGAGTTCTACTGGGGTTTTATTATGTTAATGTCGAGTTTAAAAATTATATACTCGTTCAACCCCTATGGTACACTGCCAACACTGTTTATAGTGGAGGTGGTGTGCCGCTGACCTCAACTCGGGATGTTGTCGGTCAGTGGGCAGAGTACTTCAAAGACCTCCTCAATCCCACTGGCACGTCTTCCACTGAGGAAGCAGAGCCTGAGGACTTTGGGTCTGGCTCTCCAATCTTTGGTGCTGAGGTCACCGAGGTGGTTAAAAAGCTCCTTGGTGGCAGGGTTCCAGCGGTGGATGAGATTTGCCCAGAGTTCCTTAAGGCTCTGGATGTTGAGGGGTTGTGTTGGCTTACGCAAATCTGCAATATTGCGTGGACATCGGGGGCAGTTCCCCTGGATTGGCAGACCTGGGTGGTGGTCCCCCTATTCAAAAAGGGGGACTGTAGAGTGCGTTCCAACTACAAGGGGATCATGCTCTAAGCCTCCCTGGTAAGGTCTATTCAGGGGTTCTGAAGAGGAGGGTCCGTCGGATAGTCAAACCTCGGATTCAGGAGGAGCAGTGCGGTTTTTGTCCTGGTTGTGGAACACTGGACCAGCTCTACACCCTCAGCAGGGTCCTGGAGGGTGTGTGGGAGTTTGCCCAACCAGTCTACATGTGCTTTGTGGACTTGGAGAAGGCGTTCGACCACATCCCTTGGGGAACCCTGTGGGGGATACTCTGGGAGTATGGGGTACCAGATCCTTTGATACGGGCTGTTAGGTCCCTGCATGACCAGTGTCAGAGCTTGGTCTGCAATGCCGGCAGTAAGTCGGGCTCGTTCCTGGTGAGAGTTGGACTCCACCAAGGTTGCCCTTTGTCATCTATTTTGTTCATAACTTTTATGGACAGAATTTATAGGCGCAACCAAGGTGTTGAGGGGAACTGTTTTGGTGACCTTATGATCGGGCCTCTGCTTTTTGCAGATGATGTGGCCTTTTGGCTTTATCAGGTCATGATCTACAGCTTTCACTGGAGCGGATCACAGCCGAGTGTGACGCGACCAGGATGAGGATCAGTTCCTCCAAATCCGAGGCCATGGTCTTGAGCCGGAAAAGGGTAGAGTGTCCTCTCCATATCGGGGAGGAGGTTCTGTCCCAACTAGAGGAGTTCAAGTATCTTGGGGTCTTATTCATGAATGAGGGAGAAATGGAGCGAGAGATTGATAGATGGATAGGTGCGGTGTCTGTAGTGAAGCAGGCACTATATCATTCTGTCGTGTTGAAGAGTGAGCTGCTGAGTCAGAAGGCAAAGCTCTCAATTTACTGGTCAATCTACATTCCTACCCTCATCTATGGTCATGAGCTTAGGGTTGTGACCGAAAGAACGAGAGCTCGGATACAAGCAGCCGAAATGAGTTTTCTCCGCAGGGTGTCTGGGCTCTCCCTTAGAGATAGGGTGAGAAGCCCGGTCATTCGGGAAGGACTCAGAGTAGAGTCGCTGCTTCTCCACATAGAGAGGAGCCAGTTGGAGGTGGCTAGGGCATCTGGTTAGGATGCCTTCTGGACACCTCCCTGGAGAGGTGTTCCAGACACGTCCCACTGGGAGAAGACCCAGGGGAAGACCCAGGACATGCTGGAGGGACTATGTTTCTTGGCTGACCTGGGAACGCCTTGGGATTCCCCCATAAGAGCTGGCCCAAGTGACTGTGGAGAGGGAAGTCTGGGCCTCCTACTTAAGCTGCTACCCCCGCAACCCAACCCTGGATAAGAAGAAGAAAATGGATGGATGGATGGATGGATGGATGGATATCTAGTGGCAAGTTCTAACAGAAGTTGTCTCACAGCAACAAAAACATTCACATACATTATAAAACCAATTAGGAAGGAAGCAGCAGGTTGTGTTGAATCTTCAACTTCATTGCAGTCTCCCATTCTGAGCAAGCACAAAGGCAACAGTGGAAAGGAAAAATGCTATTTTGACAGGAAGAAACCTCCAGAAACCTCCAGCAAAACCAAGCTCAGGACAAGCAGCCATCTGCTTTGACTGGCTGAGGTTCCAGAGGACAGGAAGGAGAGAAAAAAAAAAAAACCCAGAATGACAGGCCCTGTCATTCCCTGATCTGCTATGGAAGCACGAGCTATAGTGTCAGCTCATTTGCGCACACACAAGTATCACAGTTGAATATGCAAGATTAAGGAAAATGTACAGGAAATATCCTGTAAACTGATTTAATACAACACATAGAATGATCTTCATGTTGCTAATTTACGCAACTTGTATTTTCTGTTAAAATCATTGACATATTTATGTCACTGGTTAAAAAGATATGCAACGCATATTTAAGGTAAATAAAAAAATATTAGGGTGATGTAGCGCAGCTTCATTCCGGAGCAGCACAGTTTCACCATGGAAATAATTAATTCTGTATCTTGCAGGGTTAATATGTGAATGATTTTAAAGGAAATAGGAGTGGCGTAAATTAGCAACACGAAGATCGTACTTTTCTAAGTAAATTAAGACAGTTCTTATTCTTAAACAGAATTATAACATTGTCTAGGAAAATTAATCAATTTATAGAAATATATATTTGACTGGATATTAAAACATATGGTATGTTTCATAAATATATTTTGTTAATATGTGTTGTATTAGAGAATAAAGAGAATAATAATAATAATTAAATAAAGGAAATAACCTTCACATCAATGTGAAGAAGACAAAGGAGATGATTGTGGACTTCAGAAGGAACAAAAACACCTACACCCCCCTGAACATAAGAGGATCTGCAGTGGAAGTGGTCTCCAGCTACAAGTACTTGGGTGTGCACCTGAATGACAACCTCAGCTGGAGCAACAACACCACCAGCCTGATCAAGAAAGCTCATCAGAGACTCTACTTCTTCAGATGGTTGAGACGAGCTGGTCTGGGAAGCTCAGTCCTCACCTCCTTCTACAGGTGTGCAGTGGAGAGCATCCTGTGCTCCAGCATCAACGTGTGGCATGGAGGCTGCACAGCTGCAGAAAGAAAAGCTTTGCAGAGAGTGGTGAACGCTGCACAGAAGATGTTGGAGTCAGTCTCCCCACCATCACAGACATCTACACCTCTAGATGCAGGAAGAGGGCCACCTGCATCCTGAAGGACCCCACTCACCCAGCACACACACTTTTTGCCCCACTCCCCTCAGGAAGGAGGTTGAGGAGCATTAAGTGTAGAACCACTAGACTGAGGAACAGCTTCTACCCTGAGGCTGTTAGACTCATGAATCTCAGGATAATCACTGTGAAAAATCACATCA